ATACTAAATATACCTATTATATTATATAATATATTATAACTATGTTAAATTTAACTTTTTCAAGTATAGTTAAGACATTATTGTATACCCAATCGAATATATTTTTCTCCACATTTTAAAAACTTAGTGTCTAGAATATCTAGGAATGGTTAACACTTTTAAGTTGCTAGCCAATCTATATGACTATAACTGTAATTAACTAAGTATAAATAATTAGTTATACAGGATGATACACTAAGCATACTAGCATACTCTCCCAAATTTTTTTTCATTTAATAATAAATTTATTCAAATTCTGACTATTGAATTTTTCAAATATATTTACTCAAAGATAATTTTTTCAAATTTTTTCAAATTATTAAATTTTTTGTAGTACTGAAAGAGTGACCTGTGCAGATGATACAAACTTCAGTTTTTCAAATAAAAACCTCCTTTTTCACCGCAAAATATTAAGCTGATAATTTTGTTGAATAAGTAATAATTACTTATTTTTCAGTTATTCAAATTTTTAGGTAATTATTTTAATTATTTTAATTAGCTTTTACTCTGACTATTACAGAGTATTTAAGTATACTAATAATAACAATAGTCTATTTACAGTAGAAAATGGGGGGATATCATTTTAAAAACAGAAGTATGTATCACCACAGGACACTATTTTAAATAGTATACAAACAATTCCAAGAAGTTGTAAAATATGGAGTGTTTGTAATTTGTATGCAGTTGTACCACGAAGTGTCGTATTTTTTGCATTTTTATTTCTATGTTTTTAAAGAACCGAAATCATAATTTACCAATTTATATTGCAAAAAGTTCTAGTCCTAAGGATAAGTTATTTTTATCTAGAATCAATTCGTACTTCACACACTTCATTTTGACTAAAAAACCAATTCTAAATTTCCCTAAATACATATAAATGTATCCAACAGTTAAAATAACAATATAAAAAAATGCTACCATGCTAAAATTTTTATTATATATTTTGTTTAGTCGCAGTTTAAGAAGAAATCGTACTACGACGCTCCTATCTACAAAACAAGTGCTCGTCGAGGTGTTCTTTCCACCACAGGGCATTCGACTAATTTCTTGATGTTTATGGAGTTTTTGATCGATCGACCGAGAGATCATTGGATCAATCGAGGCACCGCTTGCTTGTGTCAATTAGACAATTAATTGGTCCCCTTTCTGCATATGACTTAAGACCAAAAATAACGCTTTTTAAAAGAATAAAAAATTATCAATATATATGTGCGATCAATAATTACGGCTTAGTAATGTAATAAGTAATAACTAATAAGAATCATTATAAATTATATTCTTGTCATTTATAAAAATTTTATCATTCTTAAAATAATAAAATTTTAAAAACTTAATATTTTCTAATAAAATACAGTACTAATAATGCACAGTTGATCGTGAATAAGAAGTTAGTCAATATTCTGTGTTAAATGAGTTATTTATGTAAAAAAATAATAAACAAATCATTTGTGTACCATTATTGAATGTATTAATTTGTGAAAATAATAATTTTCATTTTTCATTTTAATTGTATGTATCATTTTAATTTTATTTTGTGCTACAGGAGTTATGTCATCAAAATAGGTATGTACATATTAGATATATATTTTGACACTAAAATCTTGGTGGTACACGGGGTATTGTTTGACACAGTGGCTATAGGTGAGTTGCGGCCTGGCATATGCCATTAACGATATCGGAAACCGGTGAATAGCGGCCCGGTAATATTTTAGGTGTAGGTTAGTTACGGCCCGGGGAATTATCATTACCTATGTACCTATATAGGATTAAGAAAAAGAAAATGTGTGAAAAAGAAGCTTTCATTAGAGAACAGATGACAAAGCACAAGCTAAACGAAATAGAGAAATTTTGATTTAGTTAAATAATTGAGTTTTAAGATTTTACCAAAACTATATTGTTGGACTAGGTTAGGTATAATAATATAATTATGCACGAATGCTTTTTTAAAATTTTTTTAACACTATTATCATATGACATATTATATTATATAGAAACACAAAAAAATATTAATGCAGGTACGACAATATTAGAAAATACTTAATATTAATACCTAATTTATTTATTAAATTTATATTGTGGTGTTTATATACTATATACCTATTATATGGTATATGTATATTGTATATGTAATATATACATTATTGCATGACCGCAATTCGTATACACCTTTCACAGACCCAGGCCGCAATTCGTACGTACCTCTCATTAGCCCGGGCCGCAACTCATACGCGTTGTTTAGGGATTGGGCCCCAACTTACCAACACCAGGCACAGTGGTGGACTGGGGGGGAGGGGGCGGGATCATAGTTCAAGCGGCCCAAATTTAGTCACCTATCACCAGGGCCAATCGGGAAATCGAGAATCTTCTAGATGGGCCGGTCCTTGTGTACTCCTTGGAACTAAACCGAGTATTACAATAAAACCGACTCTGTCAGCAAATTTCTGTTTTCTGACGACACATTGCCACGATTCCCCACACTGTCGTACGCAATTTAATTCAAATATAAAATATTCAGGTGTTCGTAAGTCGCAACAGTATATTCAAATGCAAACAGTGGCCCATCAGGACATTTCTCAAGTTGCCGACACTCAGTCCGCCACTGCTTTGACATAACTATTTATGCACAGAATTAAATTATTCGAAAATTTGTTTTGCACCATCGTACCCTAATCATTGAAATAATTATGTTCAAAAAATAAGAATCTAAAAACGTATGGTAACTAAATTAATTTGTTCCAAAATTTATTAAAAAATATAAAACGTAAGAAAGTCATTTTCAAATAATTTTCATAACGAATTCAAATGTGTTTTCAGAATTTTTATCAGATAAATCGATTTGTTAATCTGATTGGCAAAATAATGAGACTTATGTCTACAAAAAAAAATGAATTCGGGTAATAAGGTAATATAGTAATCCCACATTTCTTGTACATACACAACACAGTAGTCATATGTACAATGTAATTAATTGCTTATCTATTTGTTCTTTAATACGATTATACCAACATTATGCATTTTGTATTGAATAAGATGATTTAAACCAAACAAATTAAGTAGTATGTATCAATTATATGATTTTAGTCAATTAAATAAGTTACAATATTATTTTATAATGATGATAGATAAACCATAAATTGTATAACTTTGTACTCACCAATATCCAATATCGTGAGTAGGTAGTGTATGAGTTTTATGCAACTTTGGGATTTAAATCGAACTTTAAGGAGCTCTCGCCGTTGTTGCTTAGGTTCTAAAGTACAAAACACACTCTTGTATTCCTATGTAATATTAAAACACTCTTGTGGAGCTTACGTTAGTATTACGGTAAATATATGCAGATAAGCTATATTGCCTAATAACAGAGTATAATTTACTATAATTATAGCATTAGAATACATAAATTAGAAAAAAGTACATAAAATAAAATAAGATAACCTTACATAATACTAATAATGATGAAAAAATAATAATTCTACCTAATTATCATGATCAATTAACCAACTAATCATTTAGAAAATATCGTAAATGCATAAACGGTATTCGACTACCCATGTTTCATATAAGTGTTTGAAAATTCTGCCAATGTATCTCTATACTGTTCCACCAACTTTCTAAGCAATAAACTTTGGTAACTATAGAATATTTAACTGTAACTTTACACGTCAAATCGACCTAAAACGTTACGTGCACCGTGGAGATAGTGTGAGAAAATGTAGTACTCAACCCCACAGCGACATCTCATCGCGTCAGCTGCATAGGTACATACCAAATACATAAATACGAAATAGTAAATTCATATTGTGCACAACTTTATGGGAGTAAGGTAATAAGTGAATCATTGTGAATGTAACCTATAATCACTTAACGTTTACACACAGCTGTACAGTTCACACATAATATTATTAGAATATTATCTCATACACACTCTTTAAAATAATAATAAAAATAAAAATCATATTAAATGAACTTGAGTGAACGTAAACACATAATACACACAGTCCTTCCATAGTATTACATAAGGTAAACTGGGAGGGATCCAGCAATCTAGGGGTATGGACCCCTCTACAATTATTTTTTTAATTTCGGGCTAGATATTAAGTAGGTCTACATAATATAATTGTACTAATTTAAAATTCCTACCGTTTAACAAGTATATTGTAGTAGCAAGGGAAATCGGACCATTTCTCTTCCAAAAGGGTAGAAACTATTGTTCGCGGTATCCCTTCACACATTTAGACGAGTCATTGACCTCCCTTCACACTCCGTTGTATACGCATTTCTTATATTCCTCCCAAATTATCCCAGTAGATACATTTAGACTCTTATTTCTTGCTTCGTATTTTTTTTTGTACTACGTAACAATATGTATTACCGTATTAGGTTTTATTGGTAACAATAACAATTTCTACCTACGATAATACATTTATACTATTATGAACCTATCTACTTCATACTTGATATAATTTTCAAATTAACTAGTTTAAATGTAGGTATTTAAATAACAAGAAAAAAGTTGCCGAAAAACTCCTAAATTTTAAGAGGGTTTGGCATCTACATTTTAACGAAATTAAATAAATAATATTTAAAGTAAAATACGATTTATTCTCAAACGATTTTTCATATTTTGTTAGAAGTAATTCAAAAAAGTAGTAACTTCTTTGCTATGTAATAAGTGTAGATTATGCATTGTCATTGCGAGTACCTACCTAAGTCACTGTAATGTATGTATTAACTTTGAATTCAATGATAAATAAATAATAATATTATCACTACAGTTAAACTTTAACTTCATTGATTTTTTTTTTGATTACCAAAGAGTTACTTTCAATAAAATCCAGGCTACGTTTATTTATTAATAATTATTTAAGAAGGTAATAAATAAAATAAAATAACTCTTGATGGGACACGTTATAATAACAATTTTTAGTTTATAATATTGTACAGTTTTAGTGAATATTCTATGGTTTTAATTTGGCGACACTGACGTTTGGGAATATTATTGTATTGATTTTTTGCATGTTTGTTGGAGATGTTGAATTTGCTTGTGATAAGTAATTAATCAATACACTGCCACACTGGACATTGAACCCAGCATCTACCCGCTTAAAATTGAATCATTTTATTTAATATTTATTGGTTACTTATCTTGTTTGACATTAAACACTAAACAGTAACCCTATAAGATGGCTAGACATCATCCAGACTTGATATTTTGTCGTAAGCAACCCGGCGTTGGTAAGTTTAGTGTGTAATATACGTGTTATAATATTTTGCTCTTCCTCAAAAAAAAAGTTATTTTTTCAAAATGTACTGTATGACTATTTTGTTATAGACAATGTCAGTTCACAGAAAATTGAACCAACTTTTCATACTACAATTTCTATTATAATATTGGTGAATTATATTATACATGTTTTTGTCGAATTTATTATAATTGATGACCATAAAAATGTAACAAAATATCATATAACTTGACGACAAATATTAATATTTCATATTTTCTTCTATTAGTTATCCCTTTAATCTCTAAGAAAACCATTGTTAGGTAATATTGAATAAACAAATTTTAGTTTTCATAATAAAATAGTAAAAAACAAAAACTAACAAAACAATTTTTATGTGTTTAATATTTTTTCTTAAACTAAAATTTTTATTGTACATATTGTATTGAAAGAATCCTATGTTTATAGTTGCATGACATTTAATGTTAAATTATATATTCTTACAATAATTTTTTGATGTTAATATTGTATTAATAATAATAGACAACCTAGATGCATTAATAACTTTCTCCTAGATTGGAAATTAAAATAAAATGATAATTTCTTCAAAGGCTGCTTAACTTACCTACTTATTATTTTTGATTCAATTGTTAATAATTCCAACTCAGAACACTTTTTTTAGTTCATAATTGACCTTAATTACTTTTTGTAATTATTAATATTTTTTTCTAGACAAATTGATGAAAATAATATACATTTTTAAGCTTTGATGATTTCTTTTAGCAGAAAGTTATAATAATTATAAAAATGTAATATCATTTTTAATTTTTATGCAATTATTTTACAATAATAATATGTTTATATAAATTTACCACTCCCTATATGGACTAAACATTTTGCCACTCCGAATCCTAACTAAAGTAATACCATATTTATTTATTTTATACATTTTAGTTTATTTAAGTGTTTAACACACATTATCTTATTGTTACAGCTATAGGACGGTTATGTGATAAATGCGATGGTAAATGTGTTATTTGTGACTCATACGTCAGACCATGTACACTGGTACGCATTTGCGAAGAGTGCAATTATGGCTCATATCAGGGTCGGTGTGTTACATGCGGTGGACCTGGAATTTCGGATGCTTATTATTGTAAGGAATGTACAATTCAAGAAAAAGATGTAAGTTATGTTTCAAATTGTCTAAATATTTTTATGAATAATTCAAGTTGAAACATTTTGTTTATTCCAGAGAGATGGGTGTCCGAAAATTGTAAATTTGGGAACTGCAAAAACAGATCTATTTTACGAACGGAAAAAATATGGGTTCAAAGTACGTTAACATCACAGTATTTGCATTTGTATTTTTATAATGTATGTTTCTATTTTTAAATAGCTTATAAAATAATTTAAGTATTAAATGTGTGTTTCTTTTTTTTGTTTCCTATTTACATTAATATTTACCGACTAAAAATTAAGGTTTTATGTGAAATAACTCAAAATATTATAATTTCATAAATATAGCTTGTTATTTTTTTTTAGCATTTTAATAATAGATGATATAAAATTATTTATAACATTTACAAATAGTTATGATAAGGGTAAAGATTTTCTGAAGTCAAGGAATTAAAGGAACAGGGACATCAAGGAATTAAAAAATGTAACTTTTATTATGCATTTGTAGTACATTTTTATATTTTTAAGTGAATTTTATATTCGAATGGATAAAATTTGATAAAAATTAAGTTAAAATTCAATCTAAAAAAATTGAATAAAATGTTATTTATTCTGCCTCGTTTTTTATTACTTATTATGTTTTTACCGATACAATTTTCGGGGTAAAAAGAAGATAGGAGAAGATGAATACTAAAATCATACAAATGATTAATGAGAATTAGAATTTTTATAATAACAAAATAAATTTTATTTATCTCAATAAAGTGCTCTTAATAATTTTAAGAGTACTTTTTTAATGCATTAAAAAAAAATTCTGTTATGTACCATCAAAACAAATTTTTTAAGTCATTTTTCTTATTTTTTATATCATTTAAATCTGTTCCCTAGTAATTAAATAATAGAAATAATTATAGTTATAACTATTAATATAATTTTATATACCTACTATTATTTATTATACTTAAATATGCATATTGTAATTAATCAATTTTTTTTCAAAGGGATTCAAAGTTAGTAAAAATGTTAATGAGTACTCTTGAGAAGTTCTTTGAACAATTTGCCTCCTATGCCGTTCAGATCCCAGGACGTCACTGACACTACAAAGTAAAAATTGTGCCATATACCTCTAATCCCATAATTTATAAAAAAAAATAGCTTTTCGTTTATAGTTCTTTTCATATTGTATAATATGAAGTTGTCCATAATCTTGTAAGATTGTTTATCTTAAGATAAATGCAGGCTGATTTAATTATTGTTCTATATTATAACTGTCTATACCATATTGCCTTTTGAGTGTATTATGTTTTTAACATAAAAAGAAATAAATAAAATAAAATGGTATTATATTTTTTTTTACATTTATGTCTGTGAATTTGTAATATAAAACTGCAAAGTTGATGCATATTTATCAAATGATGATTATTTTTTTACCATACCATGTCAATAACTAGTAACAACTAACAAAACCAATATAGTTCAAATATTACCACCTACCGAAACAATAAATATCCCATAATGTTTTATTAGGTTTAGCGGTGGATTGGCCCACCATTTGAGAATTTTTCAATAATTAACAGCCTTGTTTGCAATAAGCTGTTTTTTATTTTTGTTCTTATGATTGTTAAATGTATTTAATCACTCTGAGCTTTTTGATAAAAAACCAAAAATAAAAAAATAAGTTCTTGGGTACATTGTAACAGTAACATTATTTTTAATAATTTGTAAATAATATTAAACTGTATTTTTGCTACCTATCTGATATTATATTGTGGTAATATATGTGATTACTGATTAATGATTATCGTACTTAATACTTAATACCTAGTACTTAAACCTATATGCATTTGATGTTCAGTATGTGAATAGAGAATAAGAAAAATTAAAAATAATTCACAATTTGCCCCAGATGGTTAGTGGAACAAAAGTTGAGTTGAATACTTGTATATTATATAAATGATAAAATATTGGTGTTAAAAATGTTAGCTCCTCCCCCCAAAATAGGCAGTTGTGAGTTTTTACAGATTCTAAACCTGATTTTAAAAATCCCCCCCCCCCCCCCCTGAAATTTCAATGGATTTCTGATTATATGATACAATTAATATAATATACATACTTTGACAATACATATTATGTACTTTGTCATGACTATGTACATAAGTACTAAATGCTATTTCTTTTTGTCAATTAATAGTTAAATAAATTGTATTTAATTACAAATATGGGAATTTTTTTTAAAACTTTTCCGTGGTTTAAGTATCAGTTATGTTATTAAGCTTTGTTTGAGAGTTTGGATAGCTAAATTTAAATTATTTATAAAATAGTAGTTGAAAAGAATTAACCATTGTAATACTAAATGGAAACTTATTTTTTGTTGTACCTTATTATTTATTAATTACCAATATATAATATTTATTAACCAATAATTAGTATGTAGTAGTAGGTATAAGTTACAACTCTGGTTATTAATATACAATATACATATTATATTATATTAGCTACTAAATATTTTATTTTAATACAGTTGGCCAGATGGCTAGGTATGAACAATTTAAATAAATAATAATAATAAAACAAATGAATTCAAAGACAAATCAGTTGTTATTAAAAAAATGTGTCCATCGAGAGGTTAACAATGACTGTGCTCTAATTTATTTACAATATTTTTGCATACCACCTTTGGTTAGGTCCATAAGTAAAAGTTCCTTCAAATTGTTGTGGTTCTATGAGGTTTACTATGTAGTCGAATACACTATTTAACAATTTTTTCACTAACACAGCTTCTATTAGTCTTTGCAATGCCATCAGATTAATCGGCGAGGATAATGTATTGATTCCAGTGCACGCTCAAATCCCATTCAATATGAATATGGTATAGACATAAGAAATTATTTACAATGTATAACTATAGGTACCTATATGATACATTGATATAATATATAATTGGTACATATTATATTATATCTATTTTACCTTCCTTTACAGGGTTTTTCAAATGTTAGGTTACAGTAGATTCCACTATGACATATTTAAATTAGGAAGAAAAACATCATATTATAATATAGACAAATTTTATATTCTTTTTGAATGTTTAGAAGTAATTTTTGAAATAAGTTATATACACAGTGTAATTATAGATTCTGAGAGGAATGATGAATGTATTGATTTTACAATGATGTGTGTTTTTATTTTTTTTTTTTTTTTGTGTGTGTCTGTCATCACGGTTTCTGGCAGTAAAAGTGATTCGATTTTCTTCAAAAACAACTTTTCTGATAGGACAGTGAATCTATTTGGTGCATTTGGGGGTCGAAATTTAAAATTCGCAATAGTTTTCAAAAGCAACAAGAAAAACAAACAAAAAATTAAGGAAAAACAGGAATTTTTACGCAAAACCAGTTTTCGAAAAAATCGATTTTGGTTTTTAGTGTAACTGTAACAAAAATGACCGTACATACATGCAATTTTCACTGAATATTTGGGTTGACATTTTCTATACACCATACAATTTTCAAAATATTTGGATTTTGCGAACCATTTATACTTTATAGGCATATGAAATTTTCGATTAATATTTTTATTTTTAACTTAAGTCGATCAAAAAACTTGTAAATGTAATACAAGGTTCCTTATAAGTTTTGTTATGAAAATTTAAAAAAAAGTTGAGCCTAAATTCACAATAACTTTTTATGGCCATTTAAACTTAGAATTTTGACAAAATTCTTAAAAATCACAAAAATTAGCAAACTTTATTTAGTTAGAAATTCATAAAAATTTTCCTTTTTATATCTAAGATTTAAAAATGTAATTCAAGATTCCTTACAAGTTTGTCTACCTTTATCAAAATAAAATGTCTACCGGAAAGTCAAATTAAATTTTTATGAGGGTTTGAAGTTGAAATTTTTACAGCATTGGTCATTCACTCGATTTCTCTTGTAGCCATTTGCTTATTTTGTTGTAATTCAAAAACGAATTACTGTAGACACATGCAATTTACACCAAATGTTTATTTCATAAATTCATATACATTTTCTAAATATATTGACTTGTTCTAAGCTGTTGACAGACATTTTCAATTTTCATTTTTTTTTTTCTATAAATGACAATAAAATTTAATTGGTTGGGTCAAAAACCTTGCAAATTGAATACAAGATTCTTGATAAATTGTTACAATTTAAGTTGAAAAATATAAAAATACAGAAGCAAGATTTATTTTATAGGCATTTAAAGTTCAAATTTTGACAATATTTATTATTCTATGTACCTATTTAATGAAGAGGGATTTATATTACATATAAATTATACAAGAGTTAGGTATTTATTTAGCTTTAGTGTTACATAAAACGTTACATCTATTTTGGAAGGAACATTTAATTGTTTTGTTTCTATGCTTAATATTACTATAAATCAAATATGTATTAAGCCTTCCTAAGGAAACTTGCTCTTCTTAATTTATGAAAAACTTAATGTAAATAATTTTAAGATTATTTATAACCTTGCTGTGCTAGTAGATTTATATAAACATAAACATTCAATTCATGTAGCTGAGCATGAATATAATACTAGAATATAATGGAATATAAAACTAGAAAAGAAACAGAATAGAATACTAGATGGAAGCAGAATGTTTATAATACGTCTTCTCAATTGTCATATAGTTTTTAAAATAAAAATATTTAATATTAATCATTTTAATAATTTAAAATTATTCGAAATATATTGTAAATATTCAGACTTATCTAAGATAATTAATTTATAGAAAATGCATTATGTAGTACGCATTGAATATTATAATTATGAACATAAAATTGTTTTTTAGGTTTTTGTATTCTTAAAGTGATAAGAACTCGCTCTCCCGGTATAACTGCACAAGCTATGCTTATAGGCGGTTCTGGAATATTATGTATTCAACTGTTAATTTATGTATACTTTTGTTTTGTTTTGTATTGTTGCATTAAATGTATTATTATTATATATTATTATAGCTTACTATGCCTTTAATTTTTTTTTTTTTTTTTTGAAACAACGTAAATTTATAAATTTTTAGTTACATAATTTGATCCTCAATATTAAGTTTACCTATTTATGGTACCTACCTAGGTAATTATGATTTAGTCCCAGTAACAGCGAACCATATTCAATCCAAGAGGCTTTAATAATTTGTTATAAAAATGTACCTAATTTATATTATACCCAATTAAATACGGCTGACAATAGTATATAGGTAGTATTAATAATACTCCATTATAGTATGTAAATATAAACTTTTTAGTTTAATCCATATTGGTTTGTTATTATTTGTTTAAAATATTTTTTTTAATCACTTGTAAGTTGTAGGTACAAAAATATGTTGGGAAGTTCTAAACGTCCCTAAGCGCAAACTCTAGCCTGCATGGCTACACTACACACTATAAATTGTATCTGTATTTTATATTTATATTTATATTAATTTTTTATGTTGTCGAAGAATCGAAAACAGCGTAAACATACCTACAGGCACCATTACGTCATAATAAACGTGCAGTAACGCTTACTTAATTCACTAACATACGGCCGTCAAAATTCTAATTTATTTAAATTATTTAAATAATTCAAAATATTCTATGAATGTAAAATTTCTGATAAAATTATATTATTTATATTCATATTAAAAAAAATAAACTAAACATTTGTTTAACTCGCTATATTTGACGCTACTATAGGGGGTTGAACACTACATTGTATTGAGTACCTACATCAGTTTAATAAATGAATTAATTCTATAATTAATTTGGAATTGTTACTTAATATCAATTTTAATTATCTTATATTTTTCCCCAATACTAAGTGTTAATACCTTTAAGTATAAAATATTATATGATCAGTTGTGTTGCTAAAAAAGTATATGCTCAATTGTGCTTTACCAGGCCAGCTGTAAATTACGAGCTGTAGAGTATAGTAAAAAATATGTAAGAGCCAAGAGTAGGAAAAAAGAAGTTTTCATCTAGGTATCGTAAATAAGATAAGATATCAACTGCAATAAGTTAGGAGGACGCAACCTATGCGTTTGTTGTCTGCGTCTTATACACGTACGACATAGAACATTTTCGTTCTCTAGTTTCAATAGTGTGCTGTTAGTTAGCAGTTTGTAGCTATTGGAGTGAATTGCCCTATTATCAAAGTTTTAGGTGAGAACATTATCTATGCTTAAGGGTCAGCGGATTTTGGGATATTTTAATTTTTTAGCGAGATATGAGCATTTTTGATTTGTGTTATTTTATTTACTCGTAATCCGCCGACGCTCAAACATGTATAATGTTCTTACCTAAGAGTTTGATAGTTCACTCTAATATCAAAACTAACGGCGCACTATTCAAACTAATGAAGGAAAATTGTCTGTCGTAAGTTGGTAAGACGGAGACAACTAACACTTGGGTCGCATCCTCTTAATAAGAGTTCATAACAATATAATAATGTCAGATTAAATGTTATATGGGATAATTTTGTCTTCGTATAACTTATTCTATTATTATATGTTCGTAAAAATGTCTATTTCTTACGATAAGACCCAAGCCGTTGTTTGGCCACACATTTGGCCCTACTCACCATTGATGATTATAGAACATGAAAAAATGATTTTATTTGAAATTTTGAAAGATCAATTATATATTTTAACCGTGTATTTTCGATATTTTTAAAATGATATATGAACAACATATGAGTGACCTCATTTTCGAATGATATATGAACGAAAAACGTTTATTCACATTCAAAGAAAAAAAAAACAAAGAATGTCAAATGTTTATAAGTAGCAATAAGCATCAGAATATTTTCGTAATTGGTGTTTTTGTGCTAAATTATCTTCTATGCGATACATTTTCAATCAAAGTAAGCATTTTATATAATAATATCGTAGTAAAAATCACCCCTGTGAAATGTTTGTTGGAGATTTATACAAAATCGAAATTGATATAATATTGTCATATCGATATCGACATATCTAAGATTTGAATTATACGTCGATCTAAGTACTACTTAAATTTCATAATTTCGTAATTATTTCGATTTTGAAGAGAAACATGATTTGATGGTAAATGGTAAATGGTAATACAGGTGTAATAGGTAGTATATTGTATGGCAAACACAAAATATATGACGAAAAAAGAAAAAGAAAAGATGTTTCAAATCAAAAACATCGACAGAGGCAGCTGCAGCAGCAAGTCAGTCGACTTGTGATCTGTGCGTGAAATACCGCTTGATGATTACGGTCATTAGCTCCTGGAACTCGGCGGCATCCTGCTTCGTCCGGCTGTCGTCTGCGCCGTGGCCACTCTTACCGTTGTCGCCCGGCGTGTGGCTGTAGCCATCGGCCCACCGCGACTTGAAGACGAACCGCCTGGCGACGAGCTGCAGCCAGCCGGCGGTGGGTAACAGATTAAATGGCGGCGGCATGTCATCCAGCAACATATAGCTAACATACACCTGGGTCCGGCCAAACAGCCACTCATACTCGGCGTTGTCAGCCACCCTCTGGAACGTGTCTGACATGGCGGCGACCAGCATGTTCATCATGACGATGACCATGAGCACCTCGAACACGGCGAATAGTCCGTAGCCCACCAGCTGGGTGAAGTGATGCGGCTGGGTGGCCGTATCCACGCCACCGGTGTCGGTCACAGTGTTGCCGACTACCACGTTGGGCGCGTCTAGCGATGTCATGCAGAATATGCCCCAGAACAGCGTTTTGAACGTGTCGGCAACGGTGACGAACGAGTCCTCCTGTCGGACCGTCTCGCCTGTCTCCTGATCTTTGTGCACCATGTCCGCGTAATAGGCGTAGTAAGTGCCCAGGCCGCATGTGAACGCCGCCATAATTATGACCAGGAACGTAGCGAACTTTGCAAAGTCGTACAGCACCTTGCCCAGGGACACCTGCATCGGCCCGATGTCGTAGTTGAGCTGGCACAGGAACAGCAGTCGCATGTACGCCATGACGGTGGCTATGGCGAACAGAGCTTCAGCCACCAGCTGCGGTTCAGCCCAGTGCCAGTACTTTCGGTCCAGGTCATCGGACATGTAGCCGGCCACAGCTAGAGCGCTCTCGGCCGCCCAGCACAGGAACGCCAGCGTGAACAGCGTTAGCTTTACCGTGTCGAATACGTTCCACAGGTTCTTAAAGAATCGCTCCGGGCCCTGAAGCATCCGCAGCTTAATCTTCTCAACCCCGTGGCCGAGCACAAACACAACGATCAGAGACCACGTGCTCAACTCTTGCACTCCCCTCCGTGCCATAAATTTGTCGGCGTTCGAGTGCATGAATAGCAACACCAGAAACACCAAGTACACCACCAAACTGTTGAACATCCGGTTGATCGGCAACCGATTGACCTGGTTCCACTTGGAATTGGGCGCCAACATGCCCAGCACCACCATAGCCGGCAGCATGAAGAACCTCATTAGCAGGTACGCCAATTTCCATGGCGCCGAGTACGACTTCCATTCGATCCAATCGCCCAGCCACGCTGTCTCCAGCACTTGTTGGATGTTGGTGTGCGCCACGAACTTCTTTTGCTTATGGTCCATGGCCGTGATCAGCCTCGGGTACGGGAACTGTCCTCTGAACTTGCATCCGTCCCGATTTCGTAACATTATCTTTACTTCGTCCGACGTCCTGCAGTTCACAAGCAAATCCACCGCAAACTGTGTTACCTGCAGCAGAAGGTTACAAAAACAAGACGCGTTGATCTCACTTTTTTTCTTAAGAGTCTTAATTGTAAAACACTTTGAATATTTTCAATATGTATTATAAATAAACGTATTTGATGATTATTTTAGGATAGGTAGTAAGTTAAATTTTTTTTTATTTTAACTAGTTAATTTTAATTATAATATAACTTCTAACTTGAAGGTCATATTGTATTCATTTAACTCAGTGGCGTAGCCAAGTGGTTGGCTTACGTCAGTATGTAGGTACTTATGATAATAATATAATATGTAATTAATGATGCTGTGTTAAACATATGGAGTCACAGGTATTATGTTTGTGTCTAGGCTGTGTTTGAATGGACTATGCGGGGTGATAAATAGATAATTGATAGCGAATGGCGATTGAAATTGTTTGTTTGAAAAAAAAGAGTTAATTATTTTCAATAACTCGCCCACTTTTATTTACCTATATGTTGTAAGTAAATTTACGGCTGTACGAAGGGCAATATAAAGTCCAAAAATATTTTGTCGGAACTCTGTTTTAGCTGAAAAGTATTTTGACCAAAACGGACTATAATATTGTCAACCAAAATATTTGTCTGCTAAAATTGCCGGTCGGACACAATATTTTTGGATTCTTTATGCGCTTCCTAAATAAACGTTGACGTTCGATATGCACCTGCTCGGCCATTGACGTGTACGTGCCCTTGTACACCTGTTCTTCAGATCCACATCGTAACAGTTCGTCACGCAACTGGAAGCACCAGAGCACAGGGTCGGAGATGGTGGACGTGGTACATATAAACGCCGGATTGCTGATGGCCCAGTACGCATTCAGCCGTTCACAGCCGTCGGTGACCACCTCGCCGCGCTTGGCCGCGGCTGCGCATCGTTCATCGCACGTGCACCGCGGTGGGTGCGGCCTGTCCAACGTGTGGCCGCGGTTCAGCAAGTACTCTACCGTCTCGTACAGGCCACATTGCGTGGCCAACAACAGCGGCGTCATGAATCGCGGGAACTCTTCCGAATCGTTGTCATCGTCATGCGATGAGCCATATGGACTTGGCTCCATCCTTTTCCACCCACTACCCCTGCCACGGCTGTTGGCTCTGCCGTTAGTCTCCTCAAATTCTAGAAGTCGATCCAGCAGCTTGAGGTTGTCGTACGTGATCGCCAACAGCATAGAATCGCCGATGTTTACACCTACAATTTATATTACATTACATGATACTAGCTGCCATCGCATCACGATCATTACTTTTTAGAGCAATTGCCCCAAACAATTTTAGGTGAATGGGTAATTTTATTAAAAAGTAAAAGTATTTTTATACTTAACTATAATTATTGAATAAGTAGGTAGGTAATAATATTTTTATTTTAATTCAGTGTGATAAATTAATGACATTTATATTTTAATGATTTACTCTAGGAGTAAAAAAAAACCTCATGCTGTATAATTGCTGTGTAATAAGGGAACATTATATTGTTGGGTATTTAAGACTATTGGAAGTTATAGTTTGCATTTTACAATAAAGTATCAATATTAATTTCATAGTAAAAAAAAATCAGGTGTAGGCAGATTTTAATGTATGTGTTAGAGTGTGGGTGTGGGTAGCTTCAATATTTGCTCTTATGTTTAATGTTCGTGACGCCACTAACTCACTGTGGCGATAACACTACAAAAATTGTACTACAGTTATATGTACTAAATAAATAATTTTAAAACTAAAAACTAAAAAAAATTTTTGTTGTAGCCTGTAGGTAGAAAAACTTATGTTTAATGGGGATATTCTGTTAAAATGTTTAATCTTAGGTAGGTATGAAAAGAAAAACTTTTATGAATTTCTAACTGAAAAATAATTTACGAAATTTCAAAAAATTCTTATGCATATAAATAGCTCAAATTTTACCATGTATGAAAAATGATTATTTTAACATTTGGTGAAAATTTCGCGAGTCTACGCCTCTACGGTTATTCGTTTTTGAATTACAATTAAATATCAAAAATCAATAAATGAAAATTCGTTAATTTATCTTTGAAATCCAATATCGTTAACATTTTTAATTCAATCATAAAAAATTAATGTTACTTCAGGAATACAAGAGCATTTTTATGTTATAATAATATTAGACTATACACGTTGTTATGCCGAGTACAATTTAAAGTATATTGAAATAATATACTAATACCTATAATATATTTTTCTTCACCGATGACCTGTTGCAGTCCCAAGGATTATTATTATATATTTTATATTTTTAAGTAATCAAAAATACGTAGTCACAGTACTATTTACGTACATTTTAATAATCAACTATAAAAATATATACTCTGACATGGTATTTCGCAATGTGTGAGACAATAAAACTGCTCTAACATAAAATTCTAACCACACAGTATATAGGTAGGTACTTAGTAGGTAGTAAATCTTCGCATATATTTATTATTGCAAAATATATTTTCTCAAGGTGTTATTCAATAATAAAGTACAACTTATAACTCGCTTCAAATTAAAATATTGAAAAACCAAACAAAAATCAAAGATAAAGCCTAATAAAAGGTAAATAATTTATACTTTAATAAGTAAACTTGTGGAACTTAAATTTAGTATCTATTAATATATCCATCTAGGTATGTGTGTGTAAGACGAAAACAACGAATTGGTGGATGGCTTCCTCTTTATATTAGGTATACCGTATTGATTAATGTAAATAAATTACCAAGCATAGGTAGGTATTCAGCCATATTGTAACGTGTTAATCACAATTAGTAGAAAAACTTAATAGAAACAGTTGCCGCAACTTGCAATAATCAAAAAAGATGGGTTTATACGATTTTTGTTAACATTTATAATTTATGTCATATACTTCAAAACCAAGTGAAACAACTAATTATTTATTTGTTATTATTAGAATTTTGGCATGTTATTGTGATCAGCTTATAAAACATTCCAAAAAACTGAATTTCATTTAAGAACTAAAATAGGTACTATTAAATATTAACATTGCAATAATAAACAGAATAAGAAGTATTTTCTTAATGCATTTAGGTAAATAAAATAATCTATTGATTTGTGCTTTGTAAGATTTCTACAAATTATTTGTATAGACAAAGTTTTTTTTATAGGTACCTGTATGATTTAAGTAAGTCAACTTGTTGCGTCTATTGTTTTATTGTAGATTTAGGTACTCGCCTTTTTGTTGAAGGATTAAATCGACTAGGGGTTCGCATTGATTCTTTATAGCCAGATGCAACGGTGTGTCTCCCTGGTATTTCATATTGATATTTACACTGTTGGTTTTCAAATACTTTTCAATCGCTGGTAAGTTGCAACTCTTTACTAACTCAAAAAATTGTTGGTCTTGTGGTGTCAACTTGTCCGTAAACGAATACAACTGCCTGGACATATTGATCGCCGTTTCTTCCTAAGTGGACAATATTATATTAAATAAGTATAGTTACTAAAATTTTAATCACTTTACGCAACTAAATTGTAGGTATTAAGTAACAAAAAAAGTTACTGTTACTACTTACTTAAATTAAGGTATACAAATGAACAATTTGAAAAACAAAAGTCATCATAATTTACATTTTTAGGTTTACCGGATGACCCATTTAACGTAAGTTACTCATTATTTCAAAAACAATAAGTAAACAGTTTTAAAAATATGTTTTTAGAACATTTTTAGGTCATAAAAAACATATTTTTCTTATTTTTAACGATTGAATCATTTTTCACAAAATATTTTGACAATATTATGCATTTCCTTATTTCAAAGCAGAATATAACACATCAATACATGAACAAATGAATGTCTGTCTGTTGTCACTTACCAGTTACTTACCGTTTATGTTACGTACTTACCTTCGTTCCTGGATGATTTAGATTCACAATTTAACTAGGAAGGTCCATTAAGGGAAACACGGATTTTGAGATTTACGAAGAAAATATTTGTTCATAAATGTTTATTATTGGTTATGGGAGAATTATAAATTTATTTGGTTGAAATTGATATTTTTTTTTATTTATTGGTTGCCATTGTTAATCGAGCAGACCAAGTACCTACAAGCATCTTATATAGAGTTGGCACTTTTAGTGGACAACGAAGTGCATGGAATTAGCTAGTAGATATACAAAAATTAAATTTTGGACCAGCAATTTATTAGTCACTTATAAGTATTCAAAATGTAGTTGTGCGGAATGGAATGGTAATAAAACGGAAAGTACCAAGCAAAATGTTGGACCACTACTTCGCTCATCAAAACATTAAATCCTTTTAACTAATGAACTACTCATCTCAAATTTGATTTTTAAAAATCAAAATACTGCAAATAATATTCTGCTTCAGAATATGAAATTGACATCTTTCTAAAGAGTAAAAACTCAAAAATGTATAATGATAAAAAATAGTAAAAATAATTTTTTCAAAACTATTGTTTTGTAATAACTTAAAATTATGTAAAATATTTTTTTATAAAGGTTACCTAGTGATTTTTGAAATAATGAGTGTGGGGATCAATACATACATAGTTTTGTGAAAATAACATGAACAGCACGTACAATTAAGTTATAACTAAGGCAGAGAAGTTATTAGAGGTAAAATTAGGAAAATATGCATTTAAATCCAAAAATGTAAAAAAAATATATACAAGAAAAAATTTATATTTAAGAAAAATTATTTAACTTAATTAACAAATTATTTTAAGTTATTAATATATAATATAATTTGATTTTTATTAATATTTAACATTAATTTGATTGGGTTTTTCAATTTTGATATTGTTCCTATAATAAATAAATATATTAGATACTTTTTTTAATTACTTTTTTTCTCACCTGATAACTTATTGCATTTCACAACTAATATTTTTTTTAAATATTTGCTACATCGAATTATCGGTAAAATTATGGTTAGCCAGTATGTTTTTGTATTGAGAAACACTTCTTTCAACCTCTGTAAACGTTATTTGTGCATATGTATAAAATGTTAAATCATTTCCAGTTAGATCTTCCGGTAAACCCTCCATTGATTAATTGAAAAATGGGTGATTTTTCTCTCAAAAATTTGTGAATATGTGGAGTATGGATGAAATATGCAGAAAATAACCAAATAGGAATACCTATTCGTTGAAAATAACTTTCAAAATTATAAATTATTATAAATTAATATTTTAGTTGTGGGACTTATGACTTTCCTACATAAATTTACCTATAGGTTTTCAATAAAATAAAAGCTCAAAATAAAACTCGCAAGTCCTATAAATGATAGAACAGCTTCTAAGCAGTTATATATGCTATAACTTCTCTGCCCTAATTAGATATGACTTATGGTTATGAGTTATGACAGTATTCACATGTATAGGTATTGTATTTTATGTAAGTTTAAAAATGTATTTTTTATCAATTTGTATTAGTCCCGACTACTTCTTAGTGCTCAAGTATAACTAGGTACCTATATAATAGATATCGCAAACTCACTATAATTGAAATAGGTACCTAATCAAATAAATTCATGACTATTATTATAATTATATGCACTTTAACACTTACTTTAGTACCCATCGTGAAGTATTAAACGCCAGAGTTATATATATAAAAGTAATAATAAACTCATGGTTAGCAAATTAATTTGTATTTTGTTTGATAATCGGTATTTAGTAAACTTCAGGTACATACAAATAATAGTTAATACTTATAAACTATTATTCCATAACCACAGTAACCATATTTGTATATCAAACTAAATGTAGGTAGGTAAGTATTATGGTATTATAATTATACCTATTTTAATTTATTCTAGTATTCTGTGAATTGTGATTTTATGTGATATACCTAGTATCCTGGACAGTTTTCAATGTTGTTTTACGGTTTCGAAAAGTAGCGATGTACATGGCTATTTTCCAATGGGTTGTGGTTCTAACTAGGGCGTATTTCCTATATTCTTTGTAAACTAATTATACATAGTACTTAACCTACACTTAGCCTCCTCTCCATTTCATGCCTACGCCGAGTACTTACCGACTTTCATAGTCAACAAATTAAACTACATATTTGAATTCGTCATATGGTTTACTTGAAAACGATATTTCCAATTATTTTTTAATCTGAACTCATAACCTTTCAACAATTTAGTTTAACATTTTGAATACCTATTGGGGATTTTAAAATTGTATTAATATCTAAGAGAAAAAATGTAAAAAGTCGTTTTCAAGAAAATGTCATAATGAATTTAAAATTCTAATATGTTTTCATTCATTATATGGGTTATATAGGTTATAATTGTAATGATTGGTAAAAGATTAATACTTATTTCGACCCAGGTACTTTTTCTGAGGGTATTTTGGATGTTCAAACACCTCCCCCCCTCCAAAAAATGTTCGGGTTTTCAAAATATATCATGTTTATTAAAAAAAGTTATAATTTTCAATAACATCAAAGAAACATTTTCTGCGTACGACCAAAAATATTGTAATGCATTATATTGACACGCACTTTAGCTTTTATATCTACCTACCTATGAACAACAGACAATTAAGGATATATTTTAGACCATATTTCAATGTTTTTAAGTTTGTAAATACATTAAATGTTAATAGATAGTAGATACACATCAAGGTCTTATAATAACTAATAGCATGTGATCATTATTAGTGTTTAACAACATTATAATATGGAATATTTAAAAAATATAATATTGGATTAAAAAATCTATTAAATAACACCAGAAAAACAACTAACATAACAAACATACATAGTATACTTCTAAGTGAATTGGAAAATAATATTTATAAAGATACCTTATGTAAAATCAATATAAATTTAATTTTAATGGATGATGAGGAAGCTTCCTATTGGTTAAGTTACAGTAGGGGTATGCCGACATGCAGTCAATTAATAACGATACAAATTAAAATATTATTAGATAGCCATCTTTTAGATATATCCGTCATCCAAATGATGGGTAAACAATATAAATCGAGATAAGTTATTTGTTATAAAATGTGTACACACGCACACCTACTAGCACATTGCATAACATGATGATGTATCTAGTTTCTACTATCTAGTACATCAAATTGTGAAAATAAATTATTCAATTTATTTTATTGTATTTTATTTATGTAATATTATGCATAAAGTGTATCTAATATTATTAAATTTTTGACCCACTTTAAATATTTCGATTAACAAAATTATCAACGTTGTCTATCAGTATTAGATATTAAGGTAATACCCTAGTCACAGTTGTAAATGCGTTAACAAATTATTTGATTTTTGAAACATTGCCTATGTTGTCAGGTTATGCCTAGGTATTGACGATATCGTCTACTTATGTTAGGAATTTATGATATTATATTGGCAAGGCATTTACGTCGTTACATCATTGACGGTAAAATATATTATAATATAATATACTGTACCATATAACTTAGATTACTATGTAAACATGGATATTATTTTATACCTACATATGTACTATTGTACTCATATGTAATGTAGGTGGAAATATTTTAAGCAGTTAATTATTACTTATTAGTAAAGGCCAGGCGAAGATGTGCTGGAGCAAAAAAAATATTTTGAGTACTACTAACATCTCCGTAAGCGCAGCCGCGCAGGCACGGGCAGTCTCGTTGTCGCTGTGTGCAACAATTCGGCAATAACGTAAATACGACGATTATTGACACAAAAGACAAATAATTTACTCGAGTAGTAGGACTTATTTACAATCTACAATAATTTATGCCACTATATGATACTTTAATCAAGCTCGTATTTACCGGAGTGGAACTTTAGGAACGATACATTTGTACGACATTTGTTTTTGTGTTTAGTCAACTATAATTTATGATAATAATATAAAAAATTGTAAATATTTATTTGTGTATAAATAATAATATTGTTTTATTGATTTTTAGATGGACATTTAAAACTCGTACAAGAACACCAGTTGCGTACTGCATAATGCCGTGAATCGTAATCAGTCGTTCAAGGAATATTGAGGAATCATTTACTCGTTCATAAGTATACACATAGATTTGAGGGAATACCTATACCAAAATACCCGTCAACCCCACATTTTGAAATATCGAAATGAAAGAAGTGCTTTTAAATAAATTTTTAATGGTTTTGTGGTTTTGAATAGTATACAATCAATCATAATCTCGCAACAATCGTCGGCTGGAAATGCTAGGAAATTTGACTTTTTCCGTTTATTTATTTTATGGTCTAACTTCTTTTCCGACCACTGTAGTCGGTGCCAGGTGTTCTTTTTTCCAGGCTGGTTTGGACAAACGAATTTCTTGTACAATATAATTATACAGCACTATGATTGTACGATCAACGATAATGTTCAAAGACCATTTGATAGGGTAAACTTGTGGTAAGTGCATCTACCGAAAATATTGAAGGCGCCAGGGTAGGCAACCAAATGTACGTGCAGACAATGAACGCTTCAGAAAATGATCGTATGTCAGGCGAGCACCACTGACCACTGACAGTGGACAATTATTTAACACTCTCCAAATGTGGGGGTGTAAGGGAAACAGCCAAATAGGATTGTGCAATTTGGTTTTACGGGGGGGGGGGGGGGGGGGGGTCTCCGTGTGGTCGTATAGTGCAATGACCAAGGAGAGCACAACAGTCAGATACTATCTTACAACTAACTTATGCTACGAATGTCTGTCCAACGATTAAGGTATCGATTAAACGACCCAGAAGTCTCTACGAATCAGTGACAAGATGTGGGCATATGGTTTATCCTTTCCACTGCATATTGAATCTGGAAGACCTGGAGGGCCACTCACACAAAGCACAATTGTTGCTGGTGGACTTACGCTAACGGAGAATGGTACCAATAATGATCTCGAACAGATGATGTAGCAATGATCACCGTGAGCTCAATTCTCATTGACAAGTCAACCCGGACTATATAACAGAGAAGAGAGGTATTAATACAGGAGCCAAATTAATAAGTACTCGCGCCAAATTGTAAGCAATGTATGATTTATTGGTGACCGTGGTATAAATGATCTGCAAAACGAAAAAGAATACAATGATTATTGTGCCATCTTACTGTTAACAACAATGACGAACAGATCGAAACGTGTGTATGATAAAAAAAAATACAAAAAAATCGAGCATAAATAAGCAGGAACATGAATAAAAAAGAGTCTATATTAGGTGTATCATTTTAGTTTATATTAAAAAAAATAATAATATTATGTTTAAAGCAGTGAAATAAACTCGGAGCATTTTATTTTACCTTATTTTTAATTTCTGCTTAATATTATGTTGTTCAGCAGTTTTATACTTTTATCAACATTCAATTGACGACTGCGTCTAATTCTGATACCTTTCCATCCTTAAAATAAATTAATTTTAATATTAAAAAAAGCGGATAAGTGGGTAACGCTCTGCTGTGCAATAGGTTTCTAGGGAGTCATTGCAATCGATGTGTTAAATTTGAATTCAATGATATACAACCAATCTATACAAAAGACGATACCTACCGAGTTAAGGACTTAATACGATTCGGAGAATATTTTATGATATTATTGTGATTGAAGTAATTTATTTTATTATACAAGAGGCATTAGTACTTTAGAAGGTTAAATTCATTTTTGTCTAAAAAATTGGTAACTGGTAATTGAAAAAAAGGCAACATACTGTGAGTATAACATATAATAATATTTACCCACTCTAAAAGTTTCAAGTAGGCACAAATAATATTTTTAAATTACAACAATAAACGATATTCTTGATTATTTAATATGTAATTTTATCAAAATTTGAACTTTAAATGATTATGAAAAAAACCATGCCTATGTATTTTTAATATTTTTCAACTGCTATTGTAACAAATATATCTCTAGCCTTGTAATTAAATTGTCAAGCTTTTTGTCCCAAAAAATAACATTTGATTGACATTTGTGAAAAAAAAAAAATTAAAAAATTGAAAACTGAAAATGTCCTTAAACAGCTCAAAACCAATCAAAATATTTTGAAAACATTTTCAAGAATAGATAGAAAAAAAAATAAACATAAACATATGATGAAGGTATTTGTTTTTTAATTACAACAAAATAAGAAAATCACTCCATGAGAAAAAGAGTGATTATCCAATGTTGTAAACTTCAAAATTGAACTTTGAACTCCCACTAACATTTAATTTAACTTTTCGATTGACATTTTTTTCGATACAGCTTGACAAACTTATAAGGAATCTTGCATTACATTTTCAAATTCAAGATATAAAAAAAACATTTTTTTATGATGTTCTAACATAAAATAATTTGCAAATTGTATTGATTTTTTATGGATTTTGTATAAATTCTAACTTTAGACGCTCATAAAAAATTATTGTCGATTGTCAACTTTTTTTTCATTTCCTCTAACACCTACTTAAGAAGAACCTTGTATTACCATTTTCAATTGGACAGAGAATATTATTTTTTAACATTATATTACCAACATTAATTTTTAAAAACAACTAATAATAATCGAAAATTGTAAATGTCTATAAATAGCTAAACACGAATCAAAATATTTTTAGTTAAGCCAAA